AATGTATTTTGAGAAGGTAGGAAAGATGAAGTACTAGCAGGTGTCCACTGCAGGAATGACGCTTCTCCCTCAGCACCTGTCCCACTGCCAGCAATGGGCATGGTGACAACTGGTGGCATAAAAGTAAACACGTTACTCTGAAAGAGCTAATGCCAGATTATTTCAATCTTATGAAAAATGAACACTCACTCTTGACCACTTAATGAGGTCACTCCCCAGGAAATTTTCTTATTTTTAACATTAGGCAGAAGGATGAGGGTGGTGCAGATGGGTAACTTAAAAAAAAATTAAAAGACAAGATGAAACATACACATGGAATACATAAAACATTATATATTTAGTACAAGTAATGATAAATGACTTCATGACATTTTCCAAGAAAAATTATTTTTACATATTTTGAAATCCCATAAAAACCAGATATATTGAAATGGTTATTAATAGATTGGAAACAAAGCCAGTGGTGAATGACAGTTTTCAGCGTTCATGCACTTCTCTTAGTTGGAAAGCTACTACCCCAAGTCAGAAAGCTTATGCTGACACATGATTGCCTAGTACATCCTTTTAAAAATTATTTTGTACCTGATACTGACAGAGCGCTAGAGAAAGTGCTATACAAACCAAAGGTTGTAGAAAGTTTTAAGTGATAAAATACCATACAAAAATGTGTAAACAAAAAGGATGCTATAGAGTTGCAGGGCTCTATAAAATCCCTAACTTGGATTAGGACTACTAGATCACCTTTTGTGCATTTTAGAAAATGGTCAGCATCATCTTAAAAGTTTAAAGTTGTGTTCTTAGCAGCAAAAGATGCTAGAGGCACCACACACTTCACAGGACTGCCTGAACCACTGCGTCCATGTGCTGTACCTTCTTAGGGACGTGGCTAACCTCTGACAGCACGAGCTCACCTGGCTTACAGGGGCAATAGGAGAAAGGGTTTTACGATATGTGTCACCTGGGGGAAGCGCTAGCATTAAAATGTTTCTACTTTTCTTATTTACCCTGTCATAGAGGAAAACTGCTTTTGAAGAATTATGAACAATATAAATTAAGATAGTAAAGCAGTGTAAAAATCAGGTATGGTATTTTTGGCACAAAGCACTTTTTAAATCCAAGCTCATTTTGCAAAATATGTGTCTGGAATTTCTCATTAGAAAATAAAAACTTACATATACACAATGTGTAAATAGTTTTAGAATCTGTTTTCCTAGACTCTGCATATACCTTCAGTCTACTCCAGTAACAGGTATCTGCATGCATACCTCCACTCTCTACATTATACAGATATTGCACAAGCAACATTGCCAACTACACACTCATACAGCCTGCCAAGATTTAGGGTTTACCTTTTAGTATTTTTTTCTAAGTATTCAAATTCAATACTATTTTCCAGAAAAGCTATTATGACCAATTTCAGAAAAAGAATGCTTACTATCTTTCCTTGATCCATAGTATTAAAATCTGTACCAACATATTTAGGCATTTATGTTTTCCAGCATCTAAAATTCAGCAAAACCTGCTTTTGACATTGCTTAAAGAATTGCTTCAAAAACAGGAAATGCTTCGTCTAATGTGAAAAAATTAAAATACATCCACAGGGCATTAATTTTTCCACCAGAGGTCTCACTCTACATTCTGAAAAGCATTGCAGAGCAATAGTGAAGTCTGTCAGTTTTCAGAGAGCCATTAGGTGCAAAGTCTGCTAAAAATCTTGTACCATAACGTTACAGCTGGATGTGTTTCTTACTGAACTGCACAAGATCATTCAACTCGCATCCTATTTAAAATGTTTTAGGGTATGCTACAGCTGCTGAAAGGATTTCTGTTTTTCTTGGTCCTTTGTTTGTTGGGTCTAAGATTGATGACATCGCCACCATTCAGGGTACTTGAGTTCTGACCGGAGTGACTGCCACCAGAAGTATTAAAGACCCCTGTATAAATTGAGGGAAAACAAAGACATTGGTACAGATACACCTCAGAAGTAACTACTGCATCTAGCTTGCTAGTAAAGTCAATGATATTTTCAAAGATTTCATTTTTTTCATTTTTAAAATTATAGTACAATCCATCAAAATCTGTCATTCTAACCATTTGTTAAGAGTACAGTTCACTGGTATTAAACACATCCTTAATGTTTTATCATTACTATCATCCATCACCATAGCTCTTTTCAATAGAAATTATTCCCATTAAACAAGAACTTCCCACTTTACATCCCTCTAGTCCCTGACAACCACCATTCTACTTTCTGTCTCTGTGATTTTTAAAAGAATTACTGTCTGTCAAAAATTTACTAAAGAGGCAGGGAGACAGAAAGAGAGCATCTTTTTGGTTCACTCCCCAAATGTCCACCACAGCCCCAGCCTCAGCTGAGGACCGTGGTTATGGGGCATGGTTTAGGAGCCAGGAACTCAACTCGAGACTCCTATGTAGGTGTCAGGAATCCAATCCCTTGAGCCATCACTGCTGCCTCTTGGGGTCTACACTGGTGGGAAGCTGGAGTCAGGAGCCAGGTATCAACTTCAGGCACTCTGATGTGTGATGTGGGCATCTTATCCACTAGGTTTTTAAACTGCCTGCTCCTGTCTCTCTGAATTCACTATTCTACCTCAAGTAAGTGAAATCATACAGTGTCTTTTTGTGACTGGCTTATCTCACTTAGCTTACCGTCTGCAAGTTTCATCCATGTGTGGCATACTGCAGAATTTTCTTCCTTTTCAAGGATGCATATTTCATTGCATGTTTAGGCTATATTTTGTTTATCCATTCCTACTCCAATGAGTACTTAAGTATTTATAATTTTAAGCTTTCGTTATTTCCTTTATTTATTTATTTTTAGAGATTTATTTATTTGGAAGTCAGAGTACACAGAAAGGGAGAGAGAGAGAATCTTCCGTCCACTGGCTGCAACAAGCAGGATGGGGCTGGGCCAGGTTGAAGCCAGGAGCCTGGAGCTTCTGGGTCTCTCAAATGCGTAGCATGTACCCAAGCACTTGGACCATCTCCTGCTGCCTTTTCCCAGGTCGTCAGCAGGGAGCTGGATGGGAAGTGGAGCAGCTGGGACGTGAATCAGTGCCCATATGGGATTCCAGCATTGCAGGCAGCAGCTTTACCTGCTATTCCACGATGCTGGACCCTATATATTTTTAATAGCTAAATCACATGGCACAAAGTTCAAAGGGTACACAAAAGGTCACAGTGAAGTCTCTTTTTAACCCTAATCCCCTGCTGCCTTGCCAGTTTTCTTTCACTAAGCCAAGTAGGTTTTCCCATATATCCTTCCAGGAATATTTTAGGCATATATAGGCAAAAATGAAAATTATTATTTTTTCCTTGCTTTTCACCTAAATTGTAGCATGCTCTACACACTATTCTGCACCTGCTCACCAACAGCCTATTTTTGAAATTTGGAATTGGTAAATGTTACTTATTAACTTCGTATCATACAATTTCCTCAAGGATAGTCTATTTATAGTTAAAAGCGAGATTTTCATGTTAATATACACTGAAGATATAAAAGCTAGTAATATGGGTTTTTCCTATTTAGACTAAAACAACATCAAAGTGGCCTACAAATAAATGACAAATATATAAAAAATATGAAAAAGAAAACCTTTTAAACTATTAGCTTTTATTCTGAACTGTGCCATTTGCAAACTATAATCTTCAGTTTATGAACTATTTAGCATCCATGATACAGAAAACTCTGTCTGGGTCCAAGACACTATCAGAGATATGAAAATGACAAAGATAAATTTGCAGAAAGTTTACAGTCTAACAAATAAGATATGACAGTACCCAAATAAGTAACACTGTACGAGATTACATGGTAAGTTTCAGAAAACAGATACAAGATCCCATAGGATTGAAGGTCCTTCAAAGGAAGGACCAATTACATCTAACTTATAAGAAAGGAGAAACTCCATGAAGAAGGTAGAACTAGACAGCAGGCAATGCCCTGGACTCACAACTGTTCTTTTAGAGAAAAAGCAGCAGGCCGTGGCTTCAGCAGATACATAGCTGCGTGAGCTTTCTAGATAGTCCTTGAAGAATGAACACTTCTTTGAGAGGGCAGGAAATGGCAGTCATTCTCAAAGGAAGAAACAAAGTAGCAGAAGTGAAGAAGTAAGACAGTACTGAGCATGCTAAGTCAGCAAACAGCAAGCCCTCTGGGAATAGGGATAAGAGGTACATACATTAGTAGGCAGGAGGCCACACAGGAAGGATGGAGGAAAGTGTAGTACGATCAGACTATCAAAGAGCTTTAACTGGCGAACTGGAAGAAGACCTGAGTGGTGCCTGGCAGACCGGACCAGGTAGTCAACTGCAAATGTCCTATCTTATTTCACAAGGCGGTTGAGGTGTCTGATGACAGGGATAAAGAAAGCAAAGTAAGAAAAAAAGCCATTAACAAGAAAACACCTAAGCTTAAACAGGTCTCGAAAATGATGTGTTTCTGTACGTATAGAGAAGGGGAATGGAATCCAGATTTTAAATCCTTAAGAGATGACACTGAACTTTGGAACCAGCAAATTTGGCTGTCATCTTCCTAGAAGGCAATGCAAGAAATGGAGGTTATTGTAAAAAAGAAGACAACTCACTTGTTCTTAAGGGAACTGTGAAGTTTTGCTAACAGTTAACATGTTATAAAAAAAAAAAGCCTAGAAGAGAGATAACAAACAGAAAAGGTAAGAGAGTACAAGTATAGGGTGGGAAGCTCCTTTATAAGGATGTTATAAAGGTCCTTTAGAAGGATGGGCATTTATAAAAAATTTTCGTATCTCTGCTGTCTTTGTCAACTGGATTTAGAAAATGTAAACAACGCTTTTAATTCAATATACCTCTTAACAGACCTGATATTCATAGGTTTAATAATCACTAATCTAATACTTTTTAATCATACTTCTTCAAGAAATAGACGTAATAAGGATAATATAATAACTAATGCAAAATAAATATACCAGGCATACTTGGGTCAAAATTTTCTGGGTACTTACCAATTTTGTTACTACTTGAATGCATTACTTCTGGATCCTCAGTTATTTGTTGTTTGAGTTTTTGAAGATATTTTTCAGCCAAATATTTAAAAACTAGAATAAAAAACAGCCCCACTAGGTCAATATTATTTATGTGCGTAAATCTGTTATTCCACATCACTTACTACAACATTTATACTTGCTATACAAGTTAAATTTAGTTAAATGGAATTGAAAACATATAATCTAGTTAAAAATTCAACTTTTTAAAAATTATTTGAGCAATATCTGATAAGTACAAATACAATACTAATAAACGTATGGTTTTATTAGTAAAACAATACTTGGTGGTCAGGTTTCTTCTGTTTTAAGTATCTGATTAGTAGTTAATAATCAGCAACACTAAATTGTTGGTCGTGAAAAGATACCTACTTTCTTTAGTTGAGGAAACCTACCCTCATTAGTGGTAATTCTGGAATGAGGAAAATAACAATCATCTTTCTCTAATCTTACTTTCTTAAACAGGGAAATATTAAACAAATGAAGGCCATTGTAGCTACCTAATGCAGTATCTACTACTGTGTGGTTCTAAAACAATTCAGTCATTTTAAAAAAGGGATGCTTGAAAAATATGCATGCATACACACTCACATAGCTTAGATATTTAAAGATGAAATAATAAGCATCATAACACCCAAAGGCCACCAGAAGTTTGCTGTGGAGGATAACAGGTATTCAAGGGCATTCATAGATCACTAAAAACTCTAACTCAAAGAACTAGAATGCCTTTAAGTTTTACTTAACATTAGGCAACACAAAGAAAATTTTGTTCTTGTTTTCTAAACCACACAAAAGGAAAAGCATAAGAAAATAAATTTCCTGTTGCAATACAGTTTTTTAAAAAAGGCAATTTACCTTCATTCACATTTAGATCTTCCTTCACTGATGTTCTGTAGAATCTTAACTTTAACCTTTTTGCCAGTGCCTCAGCTTCCTCACTGTGCATCAATTAAAAAAATGCTTATCAATTTTTAAAAATACTTATAAAAGCACTTTCTGATAACTTGTTTTCAAAAGTGACTTTTAAGTTACATTTATTGAATACAGTTTGGCAGGATGGAAAGGTAGATTAGACCTTTCACATTTCTTTTTACAGAAGCCTGAGTTTGATGCCCAGTTAAATTAAGATTAGCAGAAAACTATATTTTTACTTAATGCTTCGCTGAATGTTTGGTCATCACTACTATGGATGATTAACACCAACCATTACACTATAACTAACTGTGAACAGAATTTTTTTATAGTCACTAAATTTAGCTACAAAATGATTAAATATCACCTTTATATAATATTTTAATTCATTTTCCCCTCTTTTTAAGAACATTTGGATTTAATTACACTCTGAAAATCTCATATTGAATTATTTACTTTATTCTTACTGGTCATGAAATAATTTCACTATCAAAAGCCACAGTCATATATTATTGTGTCAACCCACATGGACTCCCAATTGTGGCATCCTGATTTTACCTGTATTAGGGCTGTAGTAGCTATGCTCCAAAATGGTTCCCAATGATCCCCTGCCTCCTGGTTTTCCTGCCCTGTGTAGTCTTCTCCCACACTCTAATCAAGGCTGGTCTATGTGCCCAATAATATACAACACAAGTGATGGTATGTGGCTTCTGAGAACAGGTTGTAACAGATACTGTGGATTCTGCCTTGCCCTCTCTTGGATCACCTGCTCTGGAGGAAATAGCGGCCATATTGTGAGAACACTCCAGCAGCCTAGGTAGAGGCCCACATGGCACAGAACTAGGGCATCATGCCAAGTTAGTGAGCCATCTTGGAAGTAGATCTGCCAGTATCAGTCAAGCCTTTATGCAACTAGCCAACAGCATGAATACAACCTCATGAAAAACCACCCAGCAAAATCATTTCCAAATGTCTCACTAATAGAAACTACGATATAGTAAATGTTGTCTTAAGACACTAAGTTTTGGGCTAACATATTATGTAACAGTGATAACTAATAAAATAATACATTTTTAAAAGGTAAAAACCAAGCAAAGATTCTGAAAACTAGCAAAAACATTAATGCTATGAGTAAATATACACAGACAGAAATTATCCAGGTGTTAACTTTGTTCACAAATTTGAAAATAGCTCTGAATATGTAAAAAATAATATGAATCTGAACTTTGTAGCTACAGTAATCAATACAGGATTGCTACTTACTCAAGTTATTAAAATATCTAGGGATGCTTTTCTTAATATTTTTACTATATCTACATTTGACTTAATATGACAATTGAGATTTGTGTTGCAAAGATCTAAGACTAGAAGTCTAAAAGGGCCTTCAAAACTTATTTCTTTTAATTTTCTCTACTTATGAAGCAGTGTGAATTTTTTTAACCCAAATTAATCACACAGAATAGCTCACAGGAAATTTAATTAAAACTTAAAGTAATTAAAATCTTTAAAATTTAAATAAATCTTTCCTAAATTTTGTAAGCCTAAACAAAGATTAAAATGTTTTAACTTTATAGAATTACCATCTCCCCTCCCCCCAAAGTCACCATCTTACTTCTTTATACAAGAATCATCCAAGAGATCAATCTTGTTTTGTACAAGTACAGTTGGTATATCCCCAACTTCAGCTACCACTTTCTCTCTCCAACTGGAAATTGCTTCAAAAGATTCCCTGTCTGTAGTAGAAAATACAAGCACACAAGCCTGGGCTCCTGCAAGGTCACAAAATACAAATGTTATTTACATTAATGAAACAATTTATGCAGGGTGAAGGCAACTTTTAGCTATTGAAAATGACTTATAAAATAAATTTTGAACCCACGTTGCTTATTTTTCAACATATGAATTCTATTTTGTAATTCAAAGAACCAGTTTTTATTAAGAACAATGGTTCTCAAAGATGTCTGTGTCAAAAGACCTACAAAATCATACATCACAAAACATTAACATTTCAGTTTCATCATAAAAGCTAGGGAGAATGGTAGACTAAGCATGAGTGACAGGCTGTTGGCAAGTTCACAGCTTTAAGAAAAACCAGTCAGAAGAGAATCATGATTTGCTCATTCTATTTACATTTTTTTAAAAAATACTTTATTTATTTGAAAGGCAGAATTACAGAGAAGCAGAGGCAGAGAGAGAGAGAGAGAGAGAGTTCTTCCATATGCTGGTTCACTCCCCAAATGGCTGCAATGGCTGGAGCTGTGCCGATCGATCCGAAGCCAGAAGCCAGGAGCTTCCTCCAGGTCTCCAAAATGGGTGCAGGGGCCCAAGGACTTGGGCCATCTTCTACTGCTTTCTCATGCCATAACAGAGAGCTGGATAGGAAGTGGAGTAGCCAGGACTCAAACCGGCACCCATATGGGATGCCGGCACAGCAGGCGGCGGCTTTACCCGCTATGCCACAGCACCAGCCCCTCTATTTAGTTTTTTTAAAAAATTGTATTACTTTATTTTAGCAGCAGAATAGCAGTGATTCTAACAAATAATGTATGAAGCAGTAACAAGGTTAAAAATGTATGCCTAAAATAAAGATGTAAAAAAGCTGAATTTAGTTTTTACCCTGTTTAACTGAATAATTCCCATCCTATATCAACTGAAAATATTTTTTACCTGTGAACTATTATTACTTCAGACTGAAAATATCCGAGATTAAAAATTAACAATAACCTCCTTGAAGAAGCCATTTTACAAATGATTAGCTATTGATTCAGGTGGCATGGTAACATAACAGGTGTGAAAGTGACAAGAGAAAAATCATTGTGAGGCCAGGATGATTTCCTGGAAGCCAAGACTGTTTTCTGTTACTCCTTTGTTCCAGATCCCTGTGGTGTAATCAACAGTTTCCTACCAAGACACAGACATGCCTGGGCTACTTACAAACTCCAAGGCCAAATACCAGAGGGAACAGTATAGAAAGCAACAGAGCACAGAATTAAAGCAAAACAGCAGTTTGCTGGGAAAACCTTCCCTACTCTAAGACCAGGTTTTAAACCGAATAATAATGATACATAAGAAGAGGGGGACATTTACACCTTCTAGAATCTAAGAAGAGATCCCATTAGTATTTTGATAAATTTATATTTACTTGAATTCTAATATCTATAAATAAGAAAACATTCAATTCAATCATACTTAACTCAAACTTATAAAGCTCTTTTTTAAGCTTCAAATTTATATCAAGTTAATTGTCATTTAAATTTGAGAGTACAATAGGGTATGTCTAGGTGTACATGGTCTCTGACTTTCACAAAAGCAAAACTCAAAAATCTCTTATAGGAAGTAGATAATAAAAAATTTTGGGGTTGGCACTGTGCCATAGTGGGTAAAGCCACCATCTGCAGTGCCGGCATTCCATATGGGCACCCACTGCTCTACGCCCAGTCTGGCTCTCTGCTGTGGCCTGGGAAAGCAGTGGAAGACGGCCCAAGTCCTTGGGCCCCTGTACCTTCATGGGTGACCTGGAAGAAGTTCCTGGCTTCAGATTGGCCCAGCTCGCGGCCATTTGTGGGAGTGAACTGGCTGATGGAAGACTTCTCTCTCTCTTTGCCTATTAAATAAATAAATCTTAAAAAAAAAAAAAATTCTAAGCAGATGGTGCTAGAGATTTGTATGATGAGTAAGAATGATTAAGAGGGTAGGGGTTAGGAGGAGCTAAAATTAAGACAGTGAAGTATTAAATGCAGTCACCATAAAATCAAAAAGAGAATGTGACTGTTAAACTACAAGGGAAGAACTAGACTTATTCAGCGTGAAAGAGGAAAGGAGATAAACACACAAACAGAAGTCCTAAGAAGAGTGATAACAATCTCCAGAAAGAATGGTACACAAATCTCCCAAGTGGAAGGATTCACCTGATGCAAAGCCTTCTGATCAGAAGCTGCAAGCACCTTGTCTAATTTAACACAAGTATATTAATAAAATGAAATGTAAAATTCCATAAATGACCTGGAATACTTTTAGCTTCAAAAAGCTCATAGAGGGGCCAGCGCCGTGGTGCACTAGGTTAATCCTCCACCTGCAGCGCCAGCATCCCATATGGGTGCTGGATTCTAGTCCCGATTACTCCTCTTCCAGTCCGGCTCTCTGCTGTGGCCTGGGAGTGCAGTGGAGGATGGCCCAAGTGCTTGGGCCCTGCACCTGCATGGGAGACCAGGAGAAGCACCTGGCTTTGGATCAGCGCACTGTTGTGGTCACTTGGGGAGTGAACCAACTCAAGGATGACCTTTCTCTCTGTCTCTCCCTCTCACTGTCTGTAACTCTGCCTGTCAAATAAATAAAATCTTAAAAAAAAAAAAAGAAAGAAAGAAAGAAAGAAAAAGCTCATGGAAACCTGGATTAAAATATAATGTACATTTCCTGTTAACTTTTGGAAGTCCCTTTGTATTCACCAGCCATTTGTTACTTCTTCTTTTGAAAAATGTTTATCAAGATTATTTACTCATTTTGTTTCTTTTTATAAGGATTTTGAGTTCCTTATGTATTCTCTATATAATCCTCTGTCAGAAGAACAGTTTGCAGATACTTTCTCCCCATTCTTTAGGTTATTGCTTCACTTTGTTCATTGTTTCCTTTGCCATATAGAAGCTTCTTAGTTTCATGTAATACCATTTGTTACTATTGCTATTGTTGCCTGTGTCTTGGAGGTTTAATCCAAAAAATCATTATCTATCACCAAAGTTTTATAATGTTTTCACAGTTTCAGATCTTACAGTTTAGGTCTATTATATATTTTGAGTTGATTTTTGTATAGGGTGAGACACAGGAGTTAAGTAGTGTTTCTTTTAAAGATTTATTTATTTATTTGAAAGGCAGCCCATCGAACAAGAGAGGAGGGAAAGGGGAAGTAGGAAGAGGGGGAAGAAGGGAGGGGGAAATATAAGGAGGAGAGGCAGGGAGAGTGAGAGGAAGAGACATCTTCCATCTGCTGGTTCACTCCCCAGATGGTAGCAAATAGCCAGGTCTGGGCCAGGCTGGAGCCACAAGGCAGGGAATCCATCCTGTGTCCCACATGGATGACAGGGGCCCAAGTACTTGGGCTATCCTCAGTTGGCTTCCCAGGCAAGCACACTATCAGGAAGCTGGATAGGAAGCAGAGCAGGTTGGTATACAGCCAGCACTTCTGACACCGGATGCCAATGTCTGGTACATACAGCAGCTTAACTGACTGTACTGCAATGCTGGCCCCAGGGGTCAAGTTTTGACTTCATATAGATAATACAGTTTCCCCAGTACCATTTATTAAAGAGGCTGTCCTTTCTCCAAAGAATATTTTCTGGTGCCTTTCTGGAGAGTCAGTTAGCTATAACTGTGGGTATTTATTTCTAGGATCTCTATTCTGTTCTACTGATCCATGTGTTCATTTTAATGGCAGTTCCGTATTTTGATCATTATGGCTCTGCAGTATGTCTTGAAATCAGGTATTGTAATGCCTCCAGCTTTGTTGTTCTGGTTCAAGATTGCTCTGATGAACCATGTTAAGCCTCCGATATTCACAGTGCTGGTTGAGTCCATTATTATGGCTTGATAATAATTTGTCATTCAAAGATCCATGTGTTAAAAGGCTTGGTCTCTAGGCCGGCAACTGTGGCTCAACAGGCTAATCCTCCGCCTTGCGGCAAGGGCACACCGAGTTCTAGTCCCGGTCGGGGTAATGGATTCTGTCCCAGTTGCCCCTCTTCCAGTCCAGCTCTCTGCTGTGTCCCGGGAAGGCAGTGGAGGACGGCCCAAGTGCTTGGGCCCTGCACCTGCATAGGAGACCAGAAAGGAGCTCCTAGCTCCTGGCTTTGGATTGGCGCAGTGCGCCGGCCGCGGTGGCCATTGGAGGGTGAACCAATGGCAAAGGAAGACCTTTCTCTCTGTCTCTCTCTCTCACTGTCCACTCTGCCTGTCAAAAATTAAAAAAAAATAAAAATAAAAAAAAACTATAAAAAAAAGGCTTGGCCTCTAAAGTCTTGTATGAATGGTTAATGGATTAAGGGTAGAAACCTAATCCACTTACAGTATGAGCAGTACTTGGGAAGTGATTAGATTGGAATAGGTTGCTGGGGTGGGGCGCTAACTCTCATGATCATTATAGCTTTAAAAGGAGAAACAACATAGGCATGGAAAAGCATGTTCCCTGTCTCTGCTTCCTGATTTGCCAAGGATAATTTCCTCTGCCATCTCTGGCCTCATCAGATGGGCAAACCAATGGGACCCATGTGCTCTCAGACTATGAGTATAAGCCAAACAAAACCTCCTTCCTTTATAAATATTTGTTATAACAAAATGCTAACACTGACAGTATAAAAATTTCAACAATATTAAATCTTTGAATCCATGAACATGGGAGGCCTTTCCTTTATTGTATGTCTTCCTCAATTTATCTTTTCAATTTTTTTTTAAAGATTTATTTATTTATTTGAGAGGCACTGTTACAGAGAGAGGAAGAGACAGAGAAGTCTTCCATTTGCTGGTTCATTCCCCAAATGGCCCCAACAGCTCAATCTAGGCCAATCTGAAGTCAGGAGCCAGGAGCATCTTCTGGGTCTCCCATATGGATATAGGGGCCCAAGGACTTGGGTCACCTTCTACTCTTTCCCAGGCCATTAGCAGGGAGCAGGATGGGAAGTGGAGCAGCCAGGACTCAAGCCAGTGCCCATATGGAATGTCAGTGCCCCAGGTGGAGACTTAGCCTACTATGCCACAGTGCCAGCCCCTCTTATCAATGTTT